AATGATAAAACCATATTAAGTAATGACAAAACTATATCAAGTCAATACGAAACCATATCATGTTATATCGGAATATCATTAAGTATGACTTTTCCATATTGAGTAATATCAAAACGTCATTACGTAATGTCAAAATCATATTATGTAAAGACAAACTATCATCAAGTAATAACAGAACAACATAGCGTAATATCAGAGTTCCACATAAGACAGCTGTGGCGTTCCATATTACTTCCTTAAACAGGGTTTAACAAATCTAACCATTTGAGATTTACAATGTTTGACAGTCCAATTACCTTGGTTGAGCAATATTGAGGTATTTATCTGATTTTCATAAAAACAGTATATAAAGTGAAAAGAATACAAATAAACATGATAAATAAATATATAAGAAGGGTTATCAATAAGAGTGATCATCTACTGTAATATTCATATTGCAGTATTTAATATATTCTCTAAAAAAATCTTTTAATGTTTTTAATAAAGGTTTGAACAGGTATTTTGTTTATAATCCATAAACTTGATACCATTAAGAATGTTTTTCACAACTAAATTGATAGCAAGTTCTTTCAAACTTTTTTTTTAAATACCTGTCTATGAAATCATAAGTCTGGTATAAAATAAAGAAATAACATTGGATTTTCCCATGGGTCACCATATTCAACGGTAACAATTTTACGGCACCGGGTGCGAATTATTTCGACAAGTAATGTCTTTTCAGTGAATCTCAATGCCATAATATTGAAAATCAAAACATAAAAGAAACTTTGAAGAGCTGATATTATCAAAAAGAACCAAAAGTTTTGCCAAGCCTAGACAAGTGAACAGTAGTTGCAAATCCAAATAGTTACTAGATCAATGCGTCGATTGAACCGATGTCTATTATAAAAATTTAGCCATAAAGGTTGTCTCAAATATATAAATAAGTTCGCACAGAGTAATGGATTTACATTGTGGGTTATGCATAGCAGGAGACTAATCCATTGCAAGGCTTTGACTGCATGCGGTTCCCTCATGTCTTGTTTTTTTTAAATCTTATTTTGTACATTCTAAATGAATATACGATATTTGAACATTGGTAAACTGCTGTTGCCTCTGTTTTCAAGTTACCATCATTTTATTATTGAAGAAGTAACAATTACATTTGATGAATATTTGTATTCAGTGCGTTCAATTCTAAACGGCTAGTAGCTACTTTATTAGTTTTATGTTCAAGATTTTTAAAAAAATATTATGCAGAATGGGGTCGACAAAGCCAAAAAGGGGATATTCTTACGTTAAAGCTCAATCATGAAAATCTATGAACCTCGTTGCTAAAATTTATGGCTTCTCAAAGATATGGATATAAAATGAATTTTGAATATGCTGGTTTGCTTTAGTTAGATCATGATGAAATTTTCCCTAAAAAAACAGGTTCTCTAGCCTCCAAAGAAGTCCTAACGCTGTGACTAGAACATTTTTAAGTTAATGTGTGAAAGAATGCTTTTACATTATAAAGAGAAAAAGTTCTTCACTATAGCTTTCGAAAGTCAGAAAACTAGTCTCACTTTAAACAAGAATCCAATGATGTAATTTCTATCTGTACCATTAATACCAACAACCGCACACCCTAGTCTTTCAGTGCAGCAAGGCAAGTCCTGAATTATACTTTGAGAATGACTAAGATAGGTTTGCCACAAACTAATTTCATGGTCCATTTTGCTAGTTTTTCAACAATCTAATTGCATGGTCCATTTTGCTGGTATTTTACAAGTTTCAACAGATTTTTTATCTGCAATTAACGCTTCACTAAAACATTTCCTAAGTTCTTATTCACTATGGCTCATTTTGCTTATCGATTTAAGAAATCCTATCTTAATAATTTCTATGTTTCTATTATCAAATTATTTCAATTCATGAATTCCACCAACAACGATTGTGTAACTAACAACGACTTAGTAATATCAATTCTTTCTGTTTCTTCTTTGGTCCTCTTCTTTTCTCTTGGATAACATTGGTTCAAGGTCATTCCGACTAAATCTTTTTTTTCTATTTAACCGAATTCGAAAACATTTTTTCACTTCTATCGTTAGCTTTATACCTTTAACTTGAATTTGTTCTGAAAATGGTTCTAGAAACATCTAGAGAAAACTATCCGGCTTTCTAGCGTCCAGTATAGTGAAATTTCCATAGCAAGAATTTGGTCCAATGCACATAGCATTTGCACTCAACTTGACTTAAGAACCCCTTTTTTCATTTCTTATACTTTCATCCTAATAATAACATAAACGGTATCAATTTTACTGCACCAGATGCGTATTTCGACAGTAAATGTTTCTTCCATGACGATCGAAACCAAAATATGTAAAAATCCAAAACCTTAATAAATTATGTCTTTTCCGAGGAATACTCTTCTAGATGTTCTCCAGAATGACAGTGTTAGATAATTATAAATAATATTAGACATAGCAATAACATCTGATAGTAGTTGAAAAGCAATATTTGTGGTAATATTCAAAAATGGTACGCCGGACGCGCTTTCCCAGAGTCATTAAACGGTTTATTTCTTTCAGTTTCTGATGTGCATTTGACAACATAGATTTTACTGTTTTGTCTTCTGTTTGGGTCTACTTTCATTTTTTTGTTAACTTAACCCCATGTTATCTACAATAGACACTCTTTTAAACGGTTTCATCTTTGTTCATGTTTTTTTACACACCAGTCATGGTATAACGTAGGAAAGCTGAGCACATTTTGCACCTCATCTGCATGCAATACACACTCATGGGTACTAGTAATCTAACCGGACCATAGGTTAACATCAAGGTGTGGAGTCAAAATAGAAAAGAGTGCTCGAATTTTGTAAGTGGAAATCTGGTTAAATCTATGAGTTGCTTAAAACTTCTGTTAGAAAGACCGGGCCGATGCATAAATAAAACGTGGTATGACCTTTTCATCTTTCATGATAAAACGGCAACTAACCCTGAACTATTGTAAAATGTCTTTTTCAGGTACCCGTGAAAAGTATCATCGCTCTTTTTGTCAGGTCTGATTATTTTCAATATATTGATATATCTTGGTGATGCGGGATGTATGAATACGCAATCACGTCTAGTCGGAATGGGGCTGTAGAATTCGATGACTCGTGTAGTTTTTCCATATTGTTGTAGTGAAATCTGTGGGAAAAATACGCATTACGGCTTAAAAGAGATACAGAATCGCCCAATTTTCGAGGTTTTTGAGGTATTTTCACACTTAAATCTCCACTGTAAACGATTATTATACTAAAACAAAGTATGTTACCCTGTGATTATGTTAAAATGGGAATTTCTATTGCAATAAGCTATCTATTTCTAACAAAAGTGAAAACAATATCACTGACATAAAGTGAATTTTTATTCAAACAGTCAGAAAATTTGTAGCAAACTTAATATTTCTCGAATTTTATTACTTAATTTATGTAGCTGACAAAAATGTGTAACCAACCATTTACAGTTCATTGACCCGAAAAAGGCATAATCGTTGAAAAATTCGAGGAAAAGATACGAGCAGTGTCTTCCTAGAAGTGAAATTTGTGGTAGTATATAGGGTATAACCAATACTTTATGTGTGTAACATATGAGATTAAGTAACAACAGAATATGATTTTTTTTAATATAATAAGCTTGTCCGGGAGAATTGATAAAGATCATCTACGGGTTCCTTCATACATGGCTGCTCACTTTCAAGACTGGATAAAAACTATATTTTTATACCTTAAATATACCTGTTGGGTCGTCATTAAACATATAATTCCATGTGATTTTCTGTTAGTAATGCATGAATATTCACACCATTCTGTTGACTTACAAATATTTTTCATTAATTCACATTTGCTCCTACAGCTTCGGTGGACTCGTGTTAGTATGTTCGTCTAGGTTGCTGGATTAAGGATTATCGACCGGGTCAAACCAAAGACTTGAGAACATTTGTATTTGCGTTTCATTCACTAAGCGCTTAACATTTTTTAGTAGAAGCAAAGATTGTTCAAATCAAGGTCAGAATAATGTGTCTGGTTTAATACTTTGTGTCTTTCTGTGGACTATTACATTATATTAACTGAACTAGGACGTTAAAAAAACTATCTCAGCGAACAAAGCAAGGGTTTATGTTCATTTCACGTCAACATGTCCTCGTTCTGATATGCAAGACTTTTGCAATAATATGCACTGGATATTAAACACTAATCTACCAAACCTCTTACCATAAAACGCCACGCTTTCATTGTGATTTGTTCGGAACAGATAAGGACGTATCCATCCCAGGTCGTTGAGTTGATGCTGGGTTTCAAGCAGTAGCTTTTGATTTAAGAGCTTATCATGCAGATGAATCAAACACAAGTAATCAAAATAGTCATAAGAAAATAAAATTAAGTTTTCTTCGGATTAAAATAATATTTGCCGAATCTCGACAATTATAATGAGGGTTAAGAATCGCTTGTTTAAATTCTGTTTAACTATTGTCAATGAACATAATAACGATCAAATAGCAACAGAGAAAATTTGAAGTGTTTTCTCGACATATAAACTACCTGAGTATCAGTAAATTTTGCTCAACGGCATGATTGTTTACGAAATATTTAATAACTTGATATTATTTCTAAATATGTCATTGTGAGATTTTAATCAATTTAATTGTTGTAAGTCTCTTTATTTACATAAATTGTAGAATTAGAATTAAAATTCCACGTGTCTTTTTACAAGATGACAAGAATATAGAATTGGATACTATTTAATGAGAATAGATCGATGAGAACGGCATCAGATAAATAAAAAAAAAAAACAACTGAATAAATCCTCCGTGCTATCTCATCGATCGAACTTAAATCTTTACAGGACCATTGTCCTTCAAACCTTATTATTCAAAACATAAGTCTATCCGATTTAAAATAATTATAGTCTTTAAGTTTTATCTTTGATCGAATTTGCATATTATGTATACAATCTTTTATTTTTAACCGTGTTTATCTGGAAAATAGGTCTCAGATTACTATTACCACACGACAACCATAGGAGGCATTGTATTCTTTAATTTAGTTTAATTTGATGACACATTAAAAACATTTATTTTTGAATGACCATCAAAATATGGATATATACAAACGAAAATTTCTGCTGGAAATTGTGGTAAGTTTTTACTTATTCAGAAGTAATACTGAAATCAGTGTATAACGAAAACATGTGCAGATATTTTTAAAACAAGCGATTATTTCATCAAATGTTATATGTACTTTAAAAAAAATTTAAACAAAATTGAAAGATAAAGATTTACAAATAATAACAGTGGCGAAAAGCAGATATCTTATGTATATTTCTATGTAGTCTTCTGGTTTTATATGTTGGAAAAGTTTTAGTGAGGCCACCTTTTTAATCCATTCTTATGAATATCAATAAAGTCATATAAATCCTTCAGATATTCACAAGATATCAGATTTCAGATATCCGTAGTCATATTTTGTATGTCATGCAACATATTTGCTTCAAGCTTTCGTTCTTATATAATTCAAGCATAGAAAACTGGTGGAAAAAGACAATATTAAGTTAGTCTTATTTTGAGAACATGTCATTCGCATTTAGGTACTTGTACGAGTATACAAAAATATATTTTGATCTGCATGAGCTACCGACCGTGCGAGACCCTCATTGGTACATTGTAGTAGAGGTCGTTATACACTCCCCTAATTGTTGTGCATGTGCTGTTTTTAAAACGATGTTGATGTGCGTGAGAAATCTTTTTTGCAAAAGATGATGTTCATATTTGATATGACCAAAATCTATATTTTAGATTGGCCATTAGATCTAATAATTTTATATCAAATTTGGCATCTTTATAACGTCATAGTGACATCACATATAACATAGATCAAACTATTCATTTATCAATTAAATTAACATAATTAACAGGATTTAGAAAGGCTTACACGTATTACTAAGCGGGAATGGATTAATTAATTCGTATTGAATTATAAATTAAAAGTCCGATTCAGACAAGGTCGTGTTTTTCTCAGACTTTTTATGGCGTCTTTACACTAAATCCGTTGACTATGCGCTGATTGGTGTTTTAGTCTGGGATACATGATTTATTTATTAGTTGTAATTGACTTTGAACTAGCTTTCAGTAACTGTGAGTACTCTTTAATCGATACTTTGTGTCGATCTGATGAAAAAAGCCTTTTTCAACTGATTTTTACAGTTTGTTCTTCATATGTGCTGTTTCATTACTGTCCCATGTTAGGGGCAGATTGAGAACTCGAAAACTTGTAAAAAGTATGTGTCTGTCCCAAGTCAGAAGCATGTAATTCAGTGGTTAGATGCTGTCTGTCATAATCTTATCCTTTATTGTTTTGTAATAAAGCAGGCTGTTGGTTTTATCGTTTCACATTTTGTCATGTCGGGGCCTTTTATATCTGACTATACGGTATGGGTTATGCTCATTGTTGATGGCCGATTGACGATCATAACACTACTGCTTATTTTCATATTGTAGAAAATAGAATTTATTTACATATGCTATAAAGTCATAGTCAAATATTTAGTAGTCTGGGTAGTAACGACTTTACATAACTGCTTGAAGAATCATTGCAAGCTAAAGGTTAAAATGAGACGCGCAAGGGAAGGTTATGTATGCTTTTAGTAAATGTATGATACATTGACATTTATTTTTATTAAAGAAAAATGAGCACTATACTATAGTCGTTGCTTCAGTATCTACTCTGTACAATAAAGGGCAACATACGTTGTGTTTTATTGGCTATAGATAGTGACAAATGACAGTCGTTTAATGCACATCGGAATTTATATATACATTTTTTACTCGGCCTAACTGTGTTTTCTGTCATTCGTTAGCACCGTTACTTGTGCACTTTATCTTTGTATAGAAAACCACATGCAATATGTACACTGTGTTTTAAAGGTATACTTCTTTATAATTAATGACGAATCTAACATTACCACAAGGATCTACCGTCATATTTATCATTTCAGTTCGCATGAAATCGAATTTTTCGTCTGAGACGTCCAATTATGATATTGATATCAGATAAAAATGTAGATTGTGGTAATAAAAGTGAACATCAATATACAATATTAAATACCGTCATGTTGACAGTTTCAATTCTTTTATTAAAAATCTAGATTTATTTTACAATAATGAAGATTGAAGTTTACTTAGTTATTCCGGCATGTACTTAGGCCATTTTAAACGATATACATATATGAAAGACCTTCTAAAAGACTAACCTTGTATGGTGTAGCGCTTTATTTAAACAGTTCATAAGCATATTTGTCTAATAAGAGGATCAACTATTGCTAGGTTTTACTGAAAATTGTTGGGTGGGATGTGAACTTAAGTCCACTGAAATTTTTATTTGGATTTACCGGAGGGTAAATATAGTCGAGTAAACAGTGAAACCGTAAAATCATAATTTTATAAAAATACATTCGTATAAATATTTAGTTTGTCTTTGTGTTATAAGAAACATGAATTAAGAAGACTTTTGATTTTAAAAGTAAACATACAGTTCTTTTAAACCAGTAATTATACAATGGAAAAGGTTCATTATAATATACTGTTCAGTCTATTTTAGACGTCGCATGATGATGACTTCAATGAATTGCAGGAATACATATTCTTTTTCAAATTGTGAAACAAAATTGTATTTTTAGGATTAATTCTAAATGAAATTTAAAATATGCTTCGTGCTGTTGTCCTTTATAAGTCGTAACACTCTTTTAGAGTTTATTAAGCTACGAGAGAAATCTTAAGTGCATTGACAATATTTTTTCTTGTATACGAAAGAATTTATCGACATACGACAGTAGCGTACCTTTAAAACCCCGTGTAGTTATTAGATCTGCATGGTTATTGTTTTGTGTGAAATTTAAAAGTCATGATTTCTAGAAGACATCGGTAAGCTAAACACTGGAATGAAATATATTTCACTTTTAATGATTTCAATTACTCCATAAAGTTTTATAATTATGTGCATTTAATAACTTTGTTGTGAATTGAAAAGGATTTATAGTTTAAAATGTAGACCAGAAATAAACAGGATATATCTTTAATCGTAAGTAGTGTAATTATAATACATATATAGTCTGCTGCTGGAAAAGACAAATTGGTCGCAAATACTGAATGAATTTGGATATGCGTTTTAGTATGTTATAAGTCGAATATAAGAATTTGAGTCAAATCGATGAACATGAATTTGACAGCTTATGCCCCTTTTATCATTGAGAAATGAATCCTATTTGGATAATACATGTAATGTGATTACGAGATTTCATAAATAACTTTGATAGATTTCTCGAGATATGTAATTTGATATGATACATGTAGTGGTCTTTTTAATCAAATGACGATGTTTCTAGAGGGGGCAAGGGGGTTCCAATAACAGCAAAACAGTGAATTGATTTGGCTTAAAACAGATAACAAGGAATTGAAAAGGGACAAAAACAGTTAACAGTTAATGAAATATTAAAATCAGTCCGGTCCAGGACCAATCCAATAGATCTTATTATATAACTTGTTGTATGGACCTATACCTAGGCCTTAACAGAGACATATACATACATTTTAATTATGATCCTCATCATGTATCCTGACCATATGTTTTTCTTTTTGTTATACATGTATTAATAATTGAATAGATTTGAATTTAATATGTACGCATGCGGATACAAGGAACATTATCCCCATATATATGTTAAATTCAAATTCGAACAATTCTTAATATCAAGAAAAAGGAAAACATATGACTAGGGATACAGTGGAGATCACTTCTAACCTCTCATTAGAACTGTCAGAATAATCTGTCATAGAACTGTTCTAGAACAGTTCTACCTAGAACAGTTCTACCCTAGAACTATTCTAAGTAGAACTGTCAGGATCAGTTCTAGGGTAGAACTGTCTAAAACTGTTCTAGGTAGAACTGTCCAAATCAGTTCTAGTCGTAGAACTGTCAGCAGAACTGACCAAATCAGTTCTAACCGTAGAACTGTCAGCAGAACTGACCAAATCAGTTCTAACCGTAAAACTGTCAGCAGAACTGTCTAAAACTGTTCTAGCCGTAGAACTGACCAAACCTGTCAGGATTGTAGAACAGTTCTAAATGACGTCACTGAATGTTAAAACAGTGCTGTGATGATAATTTTTTAATATGTATTATATTCTTTTGACTTATAGATATTCAAGACAAAGAGTTCTTAAAACTGTTCTATGGATAGAACTGACTAAATTAATTCTAGTCGTAGAACTGACCAAAGCAGTTCTAATCGTAGAACTGTTCTAGTCGTAGAACTGTTCTAGCCGTAGAACTGTTCTAGTCGTAGAACTGACCAAAGATTTGGTCAGTTCTAGGTAGAACTGTCTAAAACTGTTCTAGGGTAGAACTGTCAGGATCAGTTCTAGGGTAGAACTGTCAGGATCAGTTCTAGGTAGAACTGTCTAAATCAGTTCTAGGTAGAACTGACCAAATCAGTTCTAGGTTAGAATTGTTCTAGCTAGAACTGTCTAAAAGGTGTCAGGATGACAGTTCTACATACTGTCTTAGAACAGTTCTCCTGACAGATTCTGACAGATTTTATGAGACGTTAGAGGTGATCTCCACTGTACCTGAAGAGGATAGGCCATACGACCTTAACTGAAACATCTTTTATACATGTTGTGTACAAGTCATCATTTTGTACAAATTATGACTTGTACAAATTATAATTTGTACTTTGACTTTGTACGAATTGTAATTTGTACAAAAACTTGTACAATAATTTATAGTATGAATGTTGAATTTTTCTGAACAAAATTACTAGCTTCTGTTTTTGTTAAAGTAATATTTTAAAATCAAGGGCATTTGATAGATCAATTTTTGTGGTTTGTTTTTTTTTCTTTCTTAATTTTCCGAGAAAATGAAGCCAGTGACGCCTTATATTAATTTTGATTTTTAGAACTTTTTTTTTCTGATAAGCAATTTATAGTATGGATTTTGTAAAAAACATTGATGACCACATAATAAACTTTAGTTACATGTACACTTAATTCTGATAATATAACAGAAATTGGCCCGAGTGATAATCTGGATGACACCAAGTAAAACACCAATCTTGCATCTTATGTGAAATTATTGACTATG